CACTTTCAAATATATTTATTTTAACGACTAGGATACAGTCCAGGATTAGGAAGATAAGTGGTCGTCGTACAGGTCAAATTTGGACCTCCCTTTGGCCCCCACTTTGCCTGGTTGGCAATCAAGGACACTTATTGATGTTATGTGCCTTCCCCCTCCTCCCCTGGCAGTGTCCTGTTACTGCCAATCCCTTTCTTATAGTATTATGATAAATTTTCAGGGTCTGTTTATGAGTAAGAACATGTAGTAGTCAGTTCTCTATTGCTGTGATAGATCACTAAGTGTTATAGATTCCAACTCCATCCAAGATGTTGTGAAATCCATATTTTTGTCCTTCTTCATGACTGTGTAATATTCCAACATGTACATGTACCACATGTTTTTATCCAGTCCACCTTCGATGGGCAGCACATTTGGTTCCATGTTTTTGCTACTGTGCATAATGCTGTAATACACATGCATGTGCAGATATTTTTTTACGGAATGATTGGAGTCCCTCCGGGTATATTCCCAGAAGGGGGAGTGCTGGATCATATGGAATGTCAATTTTTAGACCTTTTAGGAATCACCACACTGTTTTCCACAGAGGTTGTACTAGTTTACACTCCCACCAACAATGTAGAAGTGTTCCCTCTCACCCACATCCTCTTCAGCATCTCTTGTTTTCTGAGTTTTATGATGGCCATGCTGACTGGAGTTAGGTAGTATCTCAGTGTGGTTTTAATTTGCATTTCTTTGATGATTAGTGAGGTTAAGCATTTTTTTCATGTATCTGTTGGCTGCCACTTTCAAATATTTTAAATTGGCTGAGCCATTTTGGAGAGTCATATGACGGTATTTATCAAAATTAACAGCATGCATAGTGTTTTGACTAAAACTCCACTTTAAAGAAACTAGTCAGAAGTAGTCCAACAGGCACAAAAAGATACAGGCACATGGGACATCAATGTTTATGGTGACATTGTTTGTAATAGGGAAATAGGTGGAAACAATGTAAGTGTTCAACAATAAGGAAATGCTAAATAAATTGGAAAGACAAATATGAAAATTATTCTAAAAAGTAGTCTTCGGTCACCAAAAATACAAGAAATAAAGTCGGGGGGGAACTACTAGAAAAAAATAAGAAGAGAAAAAGTAAGTTGCAGAAAAAATACTGTCCCTATGATCCCAATTATTTTTAAGAAATCCAATCTTTAGCCGGGCACAGTGGCTCACATCTGAAATTCTAGCACTTTGGGAGGTCAAGGCGAGAGGATTGCCTGAGCCCAGGGATTTGAGACCACCCTGGGCAACCTGGCAAGGCCTCCTCTCTACAATAAATCAAAAAATTAGCCAGGCGTGGTGGCAGACGTCTGTGGTTCCAGCTACTTGGAAGGTTGAGAAGGATTGCCTGGCCCAGGAGGGCAAGGCTGTGGTGGTCGTGAGTGTGCCACTGCACTCCAGCCTGGGCGACAGAGTCGAGACTACGACTCAAAAAAAAGGAAAAAAAAGAAAAAGAAATCCAGCCAATTTCATGTGCGCACGTGTATGTTGTGTGTTCAGATGCTGGAAGGCTCTACAGGCTCCGCCCCCAACTACTGTAGACTGTAACACCCACAGGGCCCCGGACTACTGACACAGGGGGCAACACGCAGTGGGTGTCACACAGCGAGCCACCCCGAGGGACACATAGTGACACTCAACGAGCGACACACAGTGAGGGACACATAGTGAGCCACGCAGAGAGCACCCCACGGGGAGCTACACTGAGAGCGACACACAGGGAGTGACACACAATCAGCGACAAACAAGAGTGACACTCAGCAGGTGGCCCAGCGAGGAGTGACACACAGTAAGCAGCAAACTGAGTGACACAGGGAGGAACACACAGTGGGGAGCCGCACACGGGGAGCCACACACGACGACGAGTGGCCCTGAGTGGCACGCAGTAAGTGACACACAGGAATGAGTGATACACAGTGAGGGACACGGGGAGCGACAAACAGGGGAGGGCGGAGGGTGACACAAGGCGAGCGAGACACCCAGTGAGGAATGACCTGACATTGAGCGGCACTGAGTGACATACAGGGAGGAGTGACACGCGAGGAGGGGCATGCGAGCGGCACGCAGGGAAGGACAGAGATCGACACGAGGCGAGCGACACGCAGCGAGCGACACACGGCGAAGGGCACTGACTTGCTGCAGGAGCTGGGCTGTCTCTGTACAGTTCTGCGCTTGTACCTGATGAGGCCTCCTGGGCTACTCATGTCACCTATACGCGAATACACTGCGATTATCCGAACACGTCCTGTGTCCGCCTGACTGCCACGGGCCACCCCCTCCACGCCGCGGGTTCGCGGACACAAGGCGGACACAAGGTAGCCACCGCAGGCGGGACTCGCGCCCTGCTCCGAGGCAGACGCCTCCGGCCTCCCGCCCGTCAGTGCGCAGGCTCGGGGGAGGCGGGGCCCGGCGCCCGGCCGCCCCGCCCGCTGCCCG